CGATGGCGAGGCTTCGTCCGGTGATCCGCCTCACCTTTGAAATGCTTTCCTTTCTTTCTTACGGGATGCCTGCTCGGAAGAAATCGACGATGTCCCAGGTACACATTCTTCTTACAACTATTCAAATATATACTGTCGGTATCATCCAAACAGTGCGTGCATCCGCGGTATCCTTTGTTTGTCTGTCCTGAAAGGTTACTGAAAGAAGGCCAATCATTGATGGTCACGAACAGCAATGCCTTTAGGTCAAATTCTTCCCCCATGTGCTCATCCCACGCACGTACACCTGTTCCATTCCACAGTTGTAAGAGTTATTCAACTAATGGCCTTAGATACACATCAATGTCGTTGCCGGGTTGCTTAGGGCCTTGGATGAGCACTAGCATCATAATGAACTTCCGCTTCATGCACAACCAAGGAGGAAGGTTATACAAACATAGAGTCACAGGCCACGTGCTATGGTTGCTGCTCTGCTCCCCAAAAGGATTAATGCCATCTGCGCTTAGACCAAACCATACGTTCCTTGGGTCACCTGCAAACTCCTCCCAGTACTTTCTCTCGATTTTTCTCCACTACGAACCGTCAGCGGGTACTCTCAACTTTCTGTCTTTCTTACGGTCTTCTGCGTGCCACCGCATCGCCTTCGCATGCTCTTTGTTTTGGAACAAACGTTTCAACCGTGATATTATAGGAGCATACCACATCACCTTGGCAGGAATCTTCTTCCTGGGGCGCTCACCCTCGACATCACCAGGGTCATCGCGACTGATCTTATAACGCAATGCACCGCATACCGGGCAAGCATTCAAATCCTCGTACTCACCGCGGTAGAGGATGCGGTCATTAGTGCATGCATGTATCTTTTGCACCTCTAACCCTAGAGGGCAGACAGCCTTCTTTGCTTCATACGTACTCTCGGGCAATTCGTTGTCCTTTGGAAGCATATTCTTTATCATTACCAGCAACTTTCCAAATCCCTTGTCAGATACACCATTCTCTGCCTTCCATTGCAGCAATTCAAGTGTGGTGCCCAACTTTTTTTTGTCAGCTTCGCAATTCGGGTACAACAATTTATTGTGATCCTCTAACATGCGCTGCAACTTCGTCCTCTCCAGATCACTTGCGCAGTTTCTCTTTGCATCGGCAATGGCCCGACCTAGATCATCAGCGGGCTCATCTGATGCCTCTTCTTCAGCTTCTTTCTGCATTGCCGGCTCAGCTTCTTCCCCCATTGTTGTATCATCGTATTCAGGGAACCCATGGCCAGGATAGCCGTCGTCGTCCTCTTCTTCTTCATTGTCTTCCATCATAACCCCTATTTCTCCGTGCTTGGTCCAAACATTATAGTGGGGAATGAAACCGGACTCAAATAGGTGGACGTGAATGGTTCTTGACGTAGAGTAACTGTGACCATTCTTACAGCCAGCATATGGACAAGGAATAAAACCATCCGCCCGCTTGTTTGCCTCAGCGGCAAGCAAAAAAGTATGCACGCCATTAATGAACTCGGGAGAGCATCTATCATCATACATCCATTGTCGGCTCATCTTCATTACACAACACCGAATAGACCAAATTAATACAAGTTCATACATAAAGTTCATATACAACACTTAATTAAATGCAACATACAAATAACTCTCTAGCTAAAGAATTTAAATGCAACAACAAATGCGATGAAGATCGCAATTAAGGTAACAATTCATCCAACAGCATAATGATACCAAGCCACACTATCAATGGCATATTTTCTAATCTTTCTAATCTTCAACCTTATTTTCTCCATCTTGATCTTGTGATCATCGACGACATCGGCAACATGCAACTCCAATTCCATCTTCTCCCCCTCAATTCTTTTCAATTTTTCTTCCAAATACTCATTTTCTCTTTCAACTAAATTTAACCTCTCGACAATAGGGTCGGTTGTAATTTCCAGTTCACATACCTCCTAGATAAAAATATCTATGTCAACTTGATGGGCATAATTTGTCATAAACACGAAATACAACAACTAGTTTTAAAAGAGAATATACCACATCCGAATCATAACAAGGACGAGGGCCGACGGGGACGGATATCAAAACCATGGCACTATGTATAACAAACAACGTACGGGTAAGATAATTATACGAGTAACTATATATCCAAATCACATAAACATCAATTTGGTAATGTAAAACATTCATGAACAAGAGCCTCACCAGAAGGTGGTGCCGGCAACGGGACGGTGCGGGAGATCGACGGTGGTTACGACGGAGATTTAGAAGGCACTAAGTAAACCACACCTACATATGCAAACTAAGTGTTATTTTTGTGCTCAAATTGCATATAAATCAAATACTAGCAAATATAATTATTCCTCCCAAATTAATCACTATACAAAGCATTGCAAGAGCTAATCTAGCAATGAGAGTTGAAAGGACAAAGTTGCTAACCTTTGTGATCATTTGAATGGATGGGGGCCTTCAAATCTTGACAAATTTTGGGCAAAATTTGTGAGGAGCTCAAGGAGAGAGGGGGAAGATCAGAGGAAGTGAGGGGAAAGGGGAAGAACAGAGTGGCTCGGGGGGACGAAGGGTTTATGTACGTCGACCTTTAGTACCGGTTCGTGCCACGAACTGGTACTAAAGGTGCTGGACGGGCCCCAGACTGACAACACCCTGCCACCACCCTCTTTAGTACCGGTTCGTGGCACGAACTGGTACTATAGGTTCGCCACGAACCGGTACTAATGAGAACGGCCAGCTAGCCGTTGGAACCGGCACTATTGGACACATTAGTGCCGGCTCAAAATCAAACCGGCACTAATGTGTCTCATATTAGGTCCTTTTTCTACTAGTGGAGATAAATTTGTTGGAGGACATCTTGTTTCCTGAAGAGTAGGATGGATCCTTGTTTAACTTGAATCTTGCTGAAGGAGAGGATCCAGTTATTCAGTTAGCTTCTCTTGCAGAAATTTTGGCAGCACAACTTAGGGACGATGACCAGAGCTCTTTTGTTGATGAGGAAATTGAAATCTTGGACTGTTCTTCTGATTGTTCTTCCAAGCCTGATTCCGAATGTAGGGCTGTTACTTGCTCTTCTACCTCTCTTTCTTCAGCACCACCAGGGTTTTCTATCAAAGGGAAATATTTACCTAATGATGACTCTGCTGCAGATTCTGGCAGTCAGGCTGTGGCTTGTTTATCTGCTTGGGAGAAGCATTTTTCTTATAGTGCTGAAGTCCACACTGAAGTTCAGGTACCTTATGACTGGGTGGATTTCATTTGCTGTGCTCTTTTGACCCCTGATAAATTTGAGTGGGCCAAGGTGTTCTTGTTGTCTCCTATGTGGTCAATTATTTGTGAAGAGTTTCAGAAATCTCAGCATCTTGCTTTCTTCATTCCACCTTCTTGCCCTGTAACTGTGGCCCCTTCTTGCTCTCAGTTGCAGGCTCCTGGCTTGGAGGAAATGCAACCTGCACCTTCTGAGGTGGTCAGCTTCTGCAGTCCTGCTGTTGTTAAGGGCAAAAGGAAGGACATGATGCCTATTGTGGAATCTGAGGTAAGAAGAAGTGAGAGACTGCAACATTTAAATAAGGGATATAGGAAGAAAGCATGTCATGATAGCAGTTGTTTGGCTTGTTCTGCTAAGCCTTCTGTCTGCAATTCGAAAATAATTAAGAATCTGAACTCTTCTTACTGCAAGGTGGACCCCAAGGCTTGCTCTGAAGAAATCCTCTTGCAGAAGAAAGTTAAAAGAGGAGGGAAGCCACCAGGATGGAAGGATTGAAGACTTGGGTGGCAATGTGGGGAGTTTTAGTAGTTGCTCTTCTTTTGGCTAAAAATAGATCCTTTTGTCTATGGTCCATGCTGGGCATGTTTTATTCTGAGTATTTGGCCTTTTTTAAGGTTTCCTGATCAGTTTTTGGTTCCTGCTTTATGTCTGCTTGTTATGCAATGAATAGATCCTGGAATATCTTAAACTGGAATGTGAGAGGTATAAATTCCAGTGACAAGTGGCTTGCAATTTCTAACAAAATTGAGGAATCGCAGTGCTCAGTTATTTGTCTGCAAGAAACCAAGAGAGAGGTTTTTGACATCTCTTATTTGAGAAAATTTGCACCCAAAAAATGCAACTCTCCATTGCTCAACCATGACCCTCATAGCCCAATAGTATACAACTGTGGATGAAAAATACGTCAACATCGGACAGAACCATACAGCATCAAACACTCCACCCTAACTAGTCATCACCCTCCCAATCAAAAAGCAGGTAGTTTACAACGGTAGTTTTGCCCGTCCAATACAACAGAACAGGCAGCAATAAATACGAAATTTTTGAAAATAAAATAGTCACCATACAAGTTCCCATGCAGAAAAAAGGAAAACAAGCTAAGAACACCACGGCCACTACTTAGCTGTTTAACACTTCAGTATAGTCCCCACATGTTCTGCAGTTATGATAACTATATTTCAGTATATAAAACCAACATACAGAAAAGGCATCTGATATCAAACATCTCCTACTTCAGGTGGATTTAATCATCCACTACATGTGGGAAGATCTCATATTTGCAATAAATGAACTATGCAATTACATAAAGAAACTTGCAAGAAATGACATAAATCTAGTTCAAGCATCGAAAAACTATATCCTGAACGACATTATATAATTCTAAAAGAACTGCCTTACGGATAGACCATATTATTAAAGTAAATGGGAACAAACATTAACAATATATTCTCAAAGAGAGAATAAGCAGAGAGCAGAATTTATATAATTGACACCAATAATGGTTCAACAGAACGATCAAAATAACCATAATTAAAGTAGCAGGGTAATACAAGTGCATGGGCTGCTAATTACCATGAATATATACAAGTACACAAACACAAGCTTGGTCTCAGGACCCCTCAACCACCAACAAAAACTATCACTGCTGCCCAAATTCAAGACCTAACTCCAATATATCATAAAGATGGACAAGGGTCTGAAGCTGCACTACGCAAGCAAGACATTTAGTGCCCATTTGCCAATGACTCTGAGAACAAGGGAACATATGAATAAAAAGGAGTCTTCCCCTCCCAGTCAGAACCTTCAACTTGGCAATCAGATCCAAGTTGACGTATAAAACACAGCTCCATAGAATCCATGTCATATGACATTAATGTGTTCTCTTCCCCACAGACTATGAAAAGCATATTGCGTTCTGGGTGGAATGAGACGACATTGTAATGCTTTTGAAATGACGAATACTCTGTTCCAAACAGTTTCAAGTTGCTGACATTGTACTTCAAGGTCCAGTCTGCTCTACCATGGTCCTCAAGAACCCAGACTGATAGCTCAGAACCACCAATACCAGCAGTACTATGTGCGAAATACAATCGCCTCTGTGATGGAAAAATGTCATTGATAAAATCATCATCAATGTCAATGATCCACTTATGATTTCCTTCAACGTCAACAGCTACTATTAAGTCATCAAAGGCAGCCAAATGTAGGACCCCATTGAGAAAAACGCTTCTGGAATTCCAGGGTATTGCAAATGAAATTGCCATAATTTCTGTGACCATCCATACTCCAGCTTTGGACGAGTAGATCGCCAATGCTTTGATGTTTTTAAAATATCTGCTCTCATCCTCGTATACACCCCAGGCCTCATCAATTATGAATTCGAACACATGAAAGTGGGAGGAGACGGAAGAGTCGAACCCTAAGCGAGCGACCACCACCTCGCTGGACCAGTCACTAGCAGGCACGACCACCCATTTCTGGGTGGCAGGGTTGCACACGATGTAATCCAGTATCTCAGGGTAAGTCGCCTTCCAGCAGCGGCAGAGGAGGAGACCATTGCAGCAGTCCAGAATGTCAAGGCTCTGGTAATTGGGCCGAGTGAACTTTTGCTGCATTTTTCCTGGACTGGGCCGCGTGAACCCGTAAGCATCAAATGTAAACATTTTTATGTTTCAATTTTGTTCTGATGGAAGCAATGTTTTAGTCAACGGGGACAACAAAAGCATTGTTAGACTGGAAACTAAAATGCAAATTTTAGTGCTTTGAAATATATATTTCTCCATGTTCAGTGCAGCGACTCTTCCGGTAATTTTTTTTTGTGAGGTGACTCTTCCCGTCATTGATCATAACCTATGTGATCAATGGATCTCTCACTATTTCCTTGTAGAAATAAAATCTCACCTTTTTTAGGAAATAGAGTGCAATATAGATTTGTACCGGCTCAACTTAGCTAATATCACCCTAATTGCAAAGAATAGCTAAGATTTTAGACCAATTAGTTTCATCCACACCAGCGGGGGAGCTACGCTTGAAAAGCTGGGCGGGCCAAACTGAAGGGAATTCTAACTAGTTTACTCAGATAACCCATTTTCATCTCATATCCTTGGGAATTACCACTGAGCTGGGCGGGCCATCGCATTGTTTTTCTTGGCCGTAGTTCCACCAGTGATCCACACCATAGCGAAGGTCATTGCTAAGATGATGGCAACCGTCTCTCGAATCTTATGGATAAACTCGTCTCCAAAGTGCAAAGTGTGTTCATCAAGACAAGAAGCATCCACAATAACTTTATGTATGTCTGAAATCTTGCTCGCATAATGCGCATCACAACAAGTCTCCAACCTTGCTCTTCAAGCTTGGTATCGAAAAAGG